CTGCAGCGGATTTGCCAAGGGGTGTGTCAGGAGTGCGCCTCGAGCCGCTGGCCCGCGGTGCTGCGGCTGGTCATGGCCGCGCTGGACACCCCGACCTCCGCGGCCGCGGGGTGCCGCATGGTGGCGCAGGTGGCGGCGCATCGGCCGCTGGACGTGGAGGAGCACCAGGCGAACGGAGGGTCTTCGGGTTTCGGGTTTCGCGATGGGTCGGTAAAAAACCCAACTTGGGTTGGGGGGGCTCATGCGATGATCCCATGATTAACTCCGCGTGGTAAAAATGGAGTGGGTTTATCTTATAGACTGAAACTTTTGCTTTCTGAATGGGGGAATGGGCCCAAAACATTTTGGAGGGGATCCTTCACTGGGGGGACCACCCCAACAAAACAAAAGAGTCAGGTTGACTTATCTGGGGTGGTCCAACACAGGGAGGGCAGGAGCCGTGAACGCCATCTTGGCTTCGGTCTGCAAGAGGCATTTCCCTGTGACACTTCATTTAGCCTGTTTTCAACGAGGGAACTTGGTTTGAGGCGGTGATCCTGAAGTTGCTGGAGATGTTGGCCAAGAGCGCCCAGATTGGTGAAGAGCTAACGCAGGCGGCGGCAGAGGCTTTGTTGTACACCACCTTCCGCTGCAACACGTCCAAGTTGCGGGTGCTGCAGCTGCTGCGCCGGCACTTCGCCTCGTGCATCTCCCAAGCCTTGGCCAGCAGCTCGGGCTTGTGCGCCGAGAAGGTGCTGACCTTCCTGCGGAGCCTGGCCTCGGCGCGGCCGCCCTCCGCCGTCTTCGAGGCCTTTCCGGAGGGCCAGGAGGGGGTGGTGGACGTGGTGATCAGGTCCCTGAGCCGGCACCAGACGGATCCCGGGGTCCAGCGCTGGGGCTTGGCCGCCCTGGGCACCCTCTGCAGCGCGGACGAGCGCTTGGCACAGAGGGCCGTGGATGCTGGAGCGGCCTCCTCGGTCATCTGGGCGCTGGGGGCAGACGTCCTGTCCCAGGCGCCGAGTTGTGCCAGCAGTGCAGTTGCGTGTCGGTCAAATTCTTCAGCTCACAGGCGTCATTTGAGACCATTGCTTGATCAACATCACCAACTGCAGTGACTAGCCCGAACCACTTGTATTTGCACCACTCGCCGGACTGGCACCGCCAGTCATTGCAAGCGCTGGTCAGCATGGTCAGCGCCACCAGCCGTGATTGGCATCGCTGGCGCCACCGATCTCAAGTGGATCACGAGCATTTGCCATCCCAGCACCCCCAGCGTCAACTGTATCCCCAACGTCAACCGCTGTGCAGCATTGACTTTGTCCGCATCCTCAGCATCAACCACGCAAACGACATAGCACACACACACACACACTCCATCCTCACAATTTGCATCATCCATTTCACTTGCATGTCCTCTTGCCCGGCATTGTTGGTATTGCTGTGCTTTCCTTGCACATTGCCAGCATCACCAGCAGAGCCAGCACCTGCATGCATCGTGAGTGCAAGCTGCTTCGTCGACCTACACACACACACACTACATTTCCAACATCACCCCAGCGTCTCTCATTGCTAAATCGCCCTCAACAGCATGACTCATCACCCGGCTTATCATCCCCCCCCGTCAACCACCTCCACCTGGACCAATCAGACGGATTGCCATGTCCAGGCGAAGTCTTTGGAGCAGGAGGCGCTTTTCTGCGCCTATGCGTTGCTTCGCACGGAGTCGGGACAGGCGAGCTGAAGAATGCACAGCTTTTTTCGATCTCTCCAGGCCAAACAGCCCGACCGCTTTGAAACCTCAGACACCTCGCTGATTTTTTTGTTTGTTTGTTCTTTTTTTGTTGGGGGGGGGGGGAAGTGAGGGTTGGCTTGTGATCGGCGGCCTGCCCCCAAAATGGAAAGTCTGGACCGCCTTCTATGCCATGGAGGTGGTTGCATGTTCTCATTGTTTAAAGAGGCAGGGGAAAACAAAATTCGACCCAACAAAACTCGACCCAACAAGATTCGACTATTTTTTGAGGGCACAGCTTATGTTTTCTCCATTTTTTTCCGGGGTGTGCCCCTCTTCCCGCGAGGCGCAGCTGGGCTCCTCCCGGCAGCTGCCGGGGCTGGCGGCCTCCGCGGTGGCGCGGGCGCTGCGGGGGGAGCCCTGCGAGGCGGCGATGTGGGGCCTCCGCATCTTCGAGCGGATGTGCCAGAGGCGCGTCGCCTTTTGGTAGATGACGGTGACGATTCCTGCGGCGTGTGGGGTGGGGTGGGGGTGGGGTGGGGTGGGGTGGGGGTGGGGGTGGGGGTGGGGTGGGGGGTGGTCAAGAAAAAGAGAAAGCGGGGGGGCTGGAATTGAGGGTTGGGTTTATTGCTGGGTAAATGTGGGGCAGCCCACTATGAGGACTTGAACAGATTGAGCACCAGATACTGTATGTGCCATGGGGTTGGTTGGGATGGTCCTCAACCTTTGAGACAACCAATGCAAGGGTGCAACAGTGAAAGGACCAATGCTTGGAAATCGCGTTGTCAACTTGTGGTCGCCCGATCAGTTTCATGCGTAGTTCATGCTCCTGGTTGAGTGCGATGGATTCCACTGTTTGGGTTGCTCTCTCCAGGCACGCGTTTCTGATCCAGCCCTACGTGGATGTGATCCTAGATGCCATGCTTGCGGAGGACCATTGGGAGCAGGTTGGTCAGGTCGGTCAGGTGGATCAGGTGGATCAGGTAGGAAGGCCATGAAAGGGATGTTTGTGTGGATCGGGTGGATCAGGTGGTTGTCATGGGGCACAGCCGCATTTGTTCCATTGGGATCTCATTGTTGTTCCGTTTCGACTGGTTTTGAACAGCGACGACAGGTACATTGACACAATGTACTTGGATGTATTCTTTTTGATGTGAGAAAACAGGGATAAGACAGGGACGCCGCAACCATTTCCTGATGTGCAACTGGTTCCAAACGTCTGGCTTCTATCTTCTTTTTGTTTTGATTGGTGCACCATTTCTTGACTCATTTGGGAGTTTCCCCCTTGTGGAGACTACCCTTGTGTCCACCAACATGGAACCCATCAGAGGGTCCGTTTTAAAGGAAGGTGGTCTTCCAAACCCCCGCCCAGGGTATCCCATGTGGCCATGAGTCAAAATCCAAATCGCACCCCTGGTGAACATCCCAATCCAACCCCTAAAATAGGTTCTAAACTGGGTGGTGAATTCACCAACCAACCAAAATGGGATCCCATTGGTTTTGACCATGGTACCATTTTGGTGGGTAGGTGAATTCCCCACCCATTTTAGTACCCATTTTAGTGGTTGGATTGAATCGGATGATGTTCACTGGGGCCGCGATTTGGGGGTTTTGACCACCCCAGCCATGTGGCGCCTCGAGGACTGCCTCTTCGGCACCATGGTGGCGGGCAGCAACGCGGTGAGCCACCTGGCGGCGGTGTGCCCCACAGCGCGGCAGAAGCTGCTGGCCAGGCGCCCGCTGCGAAGTCTGCCGGGCCGGGGGGGGGGGGGTCGTGGTGTGGATGGCGAAATCCGCTGCACTTTGGAACCATGGGAAACCGTGGTTTGTTGCTATTTACGTATGGGAAGCCAGGTCGAAACCATGGGAAACAATGGTTTGAAACCACTTTGGAGCCATGGTTGAAGCCATAAGGTTCGTGGGTATTTCAAGGGGAAACGGTATTTGATGGGTCTCTTGGGTGGTGGAAGCCATTGTTTGTTGGTATTTTCACCAAAACTTTCCAGTTGGGTTTCTGAAGGGGTGCATGGTTTCGTCCGACAGTAGGCGTCCGAAAGGCCGGAAGGTGGCCAGAGGTTGCGCTGGGGGTGTTGTTCGGGGGGGTTGGAGCAATGTTGGGCGTTGGTGGAGTTCTCCCAGACTTGCCAGAGGTTGAGTCTTGCACATTCCGTGCGCCGAGTGACTGTTTCCGAGGTATGTGCAGTTGGTGAAGGCGTTGCAGAGCATGGGCCACATCGCCGCAAGTGATGGGACTCAGGAGGGCCAGGAGAAGGAGCGCGAGCTCATGGACTGGGTCCAAGTGCTGGTGGACATCCTGGGCCCTCCGCGCCCTGTGAAGTCTGACGACCAGATTGAGCACGAGCAGCTGGTCCTGGAGGAGGAGGAGGCGGTCAGTGCCAAGGCGGTGTCCAAGTCGGGGACGAAGTCGAACTCCGGAACCAAGTCCAGGACCGGCACCAAGCTGGAGGCGACCAGCCGCAACGGCACCAAGCAGCCCTCAAGCAAGGAGCCCTCGCGGCTCCAGGGGAGCAAAGGTCCTTCCCGCACCAAGTCCCACCAGTGAAAAACTGGCACGGGGGTTCGTGCCCAACTGTGTGCCTAAGGCAGCAGCGTAAAGATAACGAATTCTCCGCCGACTGGAGAAAGAATCAGGGCTGAGCACCTTGTGCATGCTCCATCCTGGAATCCTTGGGCAGTGCTCATCCCTTGTCAGGCCTGACCAAAAGCGGCGACGCTTCGGATACGCAGGCATGGCAGTCACAGTGTGTGTGTGTGTGTGCATATTCTTGCGTGCATGACTGGACAGTAGAGCAGCGCAGGACAGCATCGCCGGTGTGATGTCCGCTGCTGTCGACAGCTTGCGTGGGGCACTCATGACGGGTTCGGGGTTCGTTTGCGGTCGCGGGTTCTGCGCGCCAGGCGAGACGGGCTTCGCTGCGCGGCGCTGCACTTCCCGACTCCACGTTCTGGCCCTAGCGATGTGAGTCTGCGCAGACATCGTGGCATTGTCAGGAAATGAATAGCGAGACCTACCGGCAGGGCCACATGATCCGTTGGGGAATACCAGCTTGATTTGTTGCCGCAAGAAGAGGTTTTCGAGCACTTGCTCCCAAGCATTCACCTGCCAAAGCTGCAGACAAGGAATTTGATTTTTATTGCATTCCTTCTGCACGGTGAACCGTGCACTCGCAGCTTCGCTCGACGTGCAGCTTGCATCGCGGTGCGCTTCAGAGAGCGAGTCCTAGCAGAGTGTCAAGCACGGGAAGCAGCGAGTCCACTGCCATAGCGCCAGGCACGGACGAGAACGCTCGGCAGAACGATATCTACCGCTTCGACGTGCGCAACAAGTGCGCCAAGTTGCAATTGCTTTGACGGACCATATGCCGCGTGTATGTGGCATTTCAACTGGGCGCCCATTTGGTTTCATAGAGATAGGAGGGCTATAAGTAAAACCATCACAATCATGACGGTAGCACCAAAAGTCAACGGATGATCGGCGCTCAATTCGGCTGTGAGTCAGAATCAGGCACCAGTCCACTCATTTCACTTGGGCAATGCCTTGGTTCGGCACGCCCGAACTCCAAGTCCACATCAACAATTTTCACATTGACGCCACCAAAATCGTCCAAACACTGCGCAAGCAGCAACAAGCACCAGCAAGATCCTGTGAAAGCCAAGTTTCGAAGACCCATGGCTAGAAAGCATCCAACAATCCAACAATCCAACCAGTCCATTTCCGCCTTCCTTGAGTCCTTAAACCCACAAAAAGTCTCACCCTTAAAGCCTTTGACCCCTACCCGGGGTTCCCCCCTCCAGGGTGTGGGCTTGCGTGAAGCCCGTGGCCGGCGACCCTCCCTCGGCGCGCTCCGGCTCCAAGGCAGCTGGGAGTGAAGGAAACCCATGCGATCGCTGCGAGAGATGCAGGGTTTGCGACGTGGAACCTCCATTTTCACCGTCCATTGCCTATGGTTTCCTTTATTCGACCTCCAAAATAACCATCCAACTGAATGAAGGGAGCCCTCGATGGTTTCCTCTATGGTGAATCACCATCCTCTGTGGAATCCTCTATGGGATGAGCCAGCTCTATTTTCACCGTCCTCGCTGATAAACCGTGCAACTGGTGGTTTCCGTTGAAGTGAGCCTCGAAAAAGGAACCCATCCAACTAGTGGTTTCGGTGGTTTTCGTTGAAGGGAATCCCAAAACGGTTCATTCCCTGATTCCTTACTGAGCATTATCCAACTGGTGGCTTCCTTTTTGCGTGAATCCCCAAACGGTTCATTCCCTCATTCCTTGAGCAGCAAGCCAAAGGCTGTACCGTTTTGGGATATTAACATTCCATTGAATTTCTCCAGCGAGATAGGACATGGAGTGCTTGGAAGGGCCGTTTTTTCGGTCAGCTTTTCTGCACACTTCACGCCTTCAAAAGGGAAGTCCACTCCAGGGCACTCCATATTGGCCAGAGTGTCCTATGGCAGTTGGCTTGCAGTATGTTATCAGGAACCATGTCATACATGCGGCTTGAAGAGGCAGAAGGCTGCAGAGAAGTTTTCTCAATGTTCAGGCAGTGGTATGTAGGGACAGCATCTTCTTCTTCGGCGGGTACACCAAGAAGGCGCCCGGTCGAGTGTCACAAGAGTCGGTCGATTCTCCCAAATGGCTCATGGTGCACGGATGTCTCGACAGTCAATGTTCCGTGGGGTTGGGCGAGTCACTCAACAAAGTGTTGGAAGTTTGGGGAACTGCTCAAATCATCCCGCTCCATTCAATGCGGGTCCTGGTTATAGCGCAACGTGGAGTCGCTGTCCGTCGCTTTGCAATTGCAAGCTCGCCAAAACGTGAATGTATGACACCGGTCTTCTCATCTTGCTTGTCCTCTGACCGGGCCATTGGTCCGTTGAGCAGGACGGGGACTACTTCAATGATCTCTTCGAGTTCAACATCCCCTCGGCCCATTGGACCCGCCGGGCCCCAGCGAGCGGCATCAGGGCCTGAGACGACCTCTTGACCACCAGGCATCGATTCAGGGCAAAAGCCCTCGGTCCGCACAGACCACTCCTGCGTCGTCTACGAGGCCAAGCGACTTTATCATGTCATGTCGCACTCACGCGCATGGCACACGATCATAAACGCATCAGTTGGATTCAATCATCTTCAGTCAGCTTCAGTGTATGACATGTGACTGTTGAGGCGAGCCTCTACATCTTTGGAGGATTTGATGGCCGCACTCGATTCCAGGCAAGCCAGAGACAGCTGCCTTGGCACGCCTTGTTCTAATCGGAGTGCGCTCAACAGGATCTGCACCAGTTCAACACGGAAGATAGAGATTGGTTTCAGGCCTCAGATTTCGATGCCACGTGAATTGGTCAGACTCTGAGAAAGAAAGTGACAGGTGTCTGAGACGGACAACATGCCGGTTGGTCGCTTTGGTCACTCTGCCGTGGTCTACCAGTCGAGCATGTTGCCTGGAAGCTTCAGCGCGTTGAGCAGGTGATTCGCATGGGAGGTCTTTTCCACATCCCCCAAGAATCATCCCATTTCATAATTTTTTCCTAGTAAACTAGCGGGAAATTCTGGAAGAGCTGGAAGACCAGGTTTGTCTTTGGCGGCTGGGATGGCCATGATACCCTGGATGACCTCTACGAGTTCTCCATCACGACCAGCCAATGGTGCGCACGAGAACCGCACATTTAGGGGCCCCGCATGGCAAAGGCTCGAGAGATGCAGTTCGTCACTTCTCAAGTTCCATTGCCACGGAGCTTGGTGGCTCCCAGCCATCCGGTTCCTTAGGTTTTTAGCCTTTTAGTGTTTAGTGGTAGTTTTCACTTAACCAACTAAAAGTTAAACTTTTGGCGGGGATCTGAGGGCAGGGAGATGATTGCACCTTCCCATCCTCGTGATATGGGCGTTGATCAAAAGGTCCTTTACATGGGGTGACCATTAGGGAACCCACCCAAAAAATATGATATTTCCTACCAAATGGGAAAGTGACCCAGGGTCATAAAACAGAAAAAGAACCCACTAAATGGGAAAGTTACCCATGGTCATTTGGGGGCCGGGAATGTTGATCAACCCCGATATCTGTTGACTGCTAGTGGGTTGGATCTTTAAACTTTAACTTTTTGGGAAACCAAGGGGTTTTCCACTAAACCCCCAAAAGGTTAAACTTTTTGCTGGGGGGTCAACAGCAACCAAGATCTAAGCCTGGTGGTTTGTTTCTCCTTTGCATCCCACAAGTTTGCGGTTGCAGGTACAGCGTGCCTGGTCGTGGGGATGTGCCGCCGCCACGGCCTCGGCATGGTCACAGGCAAACTTCTGCAAGCTCCTGTGAGTTTGTCCTAAATGTCAGGACCCCCAGTGTTTATATGTTTTGGTCATTCTTGTGGTGAATTCTTTTGGTGAATTCTTTTGGGCCTAAATGTCAGCACTTTTGGTGAATTCTTTTTGGTCAGGCAGACCAGCAGCAAAGATATCATTGGGAGGCTTCGGCCGACGCGTCTTATGCCGAGGTCCAGGTATCGGCACAGCGCGGTGGTGCACGGCTGCGCCATGTTCGTCTTCGGTGGTGTGGATAAGCGACAGGAGCGGATGGATTGACATGGGCATGGCTCAAAACCGCAGGTTTTAGCCTTTGCTTCCATTTCCATTTGGTGCCATTTGGGGACTTTTTTTTGGAGCCACAGCCAGATGACCTTTCGATCAGCGAAATGGTCGACCTGGTTACCCTGAGTTACTGGGGATGGTCCTGGATCCCTGAGATTCGAGCTTGGACAGCGAAGGGTTGCCGTCAAAGCAACGGCGCGCATGCTATTGTTTTTTTGGGAGGGGGACCCAAGTTCCCTGCAAAAGCAGCTGGCCAACTCCATTTGGTCATGTTCTTTGAAGGCACCGGAACTCTCATCAAGTTGGATCCTTCGGCCGAACAAAAATTGGGTTCGGCCCCCTCGAGTTCATATGGGACCAACACGAGAGGTCAGTTCAGAGTCGTTTGGCTTCTGATTTTGGCGAGGCGAGGTTCTCTGATCTCTGCGAGTTCAGCTTTGACACACGGCGGGTCTCCAAATTGCAGCGCTTTGCGTAGCGGCGAGAAGAGCTTCATGCATGAGCTTTCATGCGTTGCCGAGCTTCATTTGACACGTTGATGTCACCTTGGGCATTTGATGCTTGATTATGAAGAGCCAGTTGCTTCAGTTGTGATTGCAATGTGATGGCTCAGGTCCTGGTCGAAGGTCAAAACAGTGCCCGACTCAGTCTTGCATCTCTCAAGCTAGCCATGTGCAACTTGGGACGAACGCTGTGGATCTTTCTTTTCATGACCAAAACATTTTGCACGCAGACTGGGGATCCGCCCTCTGCCCGAACCTTCCACCGTGCGGTGATGCAGCAGTCTCAGTGAGAGAACCGCCGGGTGCGACGCAGAGTAGATCAGCGAGACTGTTTTCACACTTATGGCCCTTGCAATGAACTGATTCTAAGACGCAAACGCACACACAGCTAGCTGCTTATGAGTTGGCCTGCATTAGGTAGATGTAGAGCAGCCTCACCATGTGTCAGTGACGAAGACGAGGTATGGGGGCTGTATGTACATCCTGGGTGGTGCCAGAATCCCAGCGGAGCCACGTCCTTCGCTATGCAAAGCTTCAAGGTTAGGTTTGGTCCAAAGCCCAAGGGCCAGTTTGGTCAACCATCGGGGCTTTGTCCAGGGAAGTTGAAGCAAACTGGCCGACTGGCCAGTCAGAAGCATTTCTTGAAAAGGATTCCCATTTGTCCCCTCACACCTGCTGCAGTTTGACGGCACGCGGCGCAACGACATGTACAAGATTGCGCCAGCCTCAGCAACGAGATCCAGGGCATCCCAGAATCTCAGGGCTGACCAGTTAGGACTGCCTTGCAAAGAAATTCAGTCCCAACAGCAAAGAACTCCTCCGGCTGACCAGTTGTGTTATGTCGGAGTTGTCCGCAGTCCAAAGCAAGCAAGCACTACAAGCCCTACACCTCTTGGACAACGCAGACAAACACAGACGACAGAACAAGTTTTATAACTAACTATTTGCGAGTGCAGTGAGGGGGGAAGCGAGCTCGAGCTTATTGTCCAAGCGATTGCATGTGGAATGGTTTGCAATCAGGGTGATCAAGTCATAGACCTCCCCTGACAAATTCACTGAGTAGCATGGACCTCGCCCCGACAGATGGGTGGGCAACATGCGTTTCCTTTGCGCAGATTTTGTTTGTTTCTTTTTGTTAAGCTTCGGCCTATCAATGGTTGGTGATGTTTGTTGACTCCCTGCAAGAATAGGGTCGATCGTTATTTGACATGCTAAGGAATATGGGACCCAACCTTCCACCCAACAACCAAGCGGGTGGTTGATACAGGAGAACTCCCGTAATCCTGAAAGCTACTACCCCGCCCCCTCTACCAAAAAGACCGATGCCAACCCACAAGCTCAGGCGTTCATACCTTTTGAAAGGTCTTTGAAGGGTTTCGCGGAATGTTTCTCAGGCGGTCCCAGAGCAGCTGCCGCGGGGTGACGAGAAGCGGCGGCGTCGCATGCAGCTCAGCGGCGACGATGCTGAGGCACGGGCGCTGGTTGGACCGTGGATGGACGAGGTCCATATCGCACCACCGTTCATGAACCCAACAGAATGGTTGATGCTGGATGCTTTTTGAACGGACCTTCTTTGCGTTTGTCTTTCTTTGAGGGCCGGTTTCCCCCAAACGGGATGAACCCATCATAGTGAATCACGTCGATTCCCCGACGTAAATAGCAACAGACCTGGTTTCCTTGGTTTCAAAATGGTGCAGGATTGCGTCCATCCACAGTATGGACCGCAGGTCTTGGTCCTTTCCATTTACCGATCGGGCGAGCCGTTTTGGGATTGCCCAATTTTTGAGCCACACCCAAATAGTACTTCGAAGGGGTGGCAAGCTTGCAACCACATGAAGCCTAGGAGTGCAGGCAAGCACTCCAAAGAAATTTCGGCCGATCGTTTAATAGCTGGCTGAGCCGTGTTTTTTTTTTTTTTTTTTTTTTTTTTTTTTTTTTTTTTTTTTTTTTTTTTTTATGCGGCCGCCCGAGGGGTTTAAGGGGGAGCTGAGCTTGGAAAGTCATACCGGTAGACCACAAGATGCGCCATGGCAAAACACCCATTGAAGCCTCCGAAAGGGATTGTGGCAAAAATGCCAAGGGAGGCATGGCCATGACTTGCCGAGGGAACATTTTGAACATGGCATTGGTATGTCAGGGACACCGAAGGTTTTTCTTCTTCTTTTTCTTCTTTGTGATGCATGTTGCTCTGCTTCGTTTTGCACACAGCCATACGACAACAACCATAGAATAGGTAATGCCGTATATCTAGAAGCTGGTCAGGGGGTACTCTTGTGGTTCAAGCGGCTGGGCAGGGGCCCGCAATTTGTTGCAGAGGGCGGCTTCTTGCTTGAAGTTTTTTCCACCGTGTCCGGAGAGGTCTTCTCTGCAAATATGTTTTCCAGGCCGCGCGGCAGCGCTCGCAGTTTTGTCGCGCGAGGCAGCCGCGGAGCCTGAGATCGGTGAAGTGGAAGGCGGGCGCTTGCGCAGCCCATGGTCGGCGCTTGCGAAGATCCGTCAGGAGGTTTGGCGTTGGATCGATTTCGGCGGCGATGTTGGGAGGAACAATCTGGTTCATGAAGTCCCCAAGGTTTGGGGAGCTTTAGGTTGATCCGTTTGTCTTTTTTGGTGGCTTTGGCACGGCTTGAGCCGACTGGGGCTGGGTTGGCCGGGGAAGTCGTTTGACACGGCGACTCTCCAGAGACAGAGCTTTGCCTTTCTGAGTTGCCTGAGGCCCGCACGAGAACAACAAGGAGACCTCACGTCTGCGGCTGCAGGCATTTGGGGGGGGGGGAGGCCACCGGTGCATACTTTCAAGCTTCAACTTGCCCTCTGCAGCAATGAACGCCTTGCCGAGTTTGCCGCGGCAGTCATCATGGTAGTTGTAGCGTTTGACTATTCCCACTCCAAATGGTTGGTGGTTAGTTGGTCTTGTGTTGTGTTTCTTGACATGTCGCCCCCAAAACGCTTCAGTTTCGTCTGCAAGCTCTGAAGCCTTTGGACAGTGGGCAGTATTGGTGAAATCTGATTGAACAAATGCTGCATATTAAACGGGGATTCTTGTTTCGGGTGCCTGCTGGCTCTGGGTTGGGGGATGGTCATGGATCCCAATGGCCATGCCGCAGAATTGGGAGCACATACACCAAGACCACCATCCCGGGTAGGGTGACCGTGATTCTCCTGGAAACATGGCAGCATGTCTGGGCCCTGACACGTTCCCGCTAATGTTGACCCAGGATGAAAAAAAACCCGTCCCACTATTAGGGGGGTGGGGACCCCTCCAACAGTGGTCTGAATCCCCAATAAAAGGGGACACCCCCTATCAATCAACCGGGAGTTTATGAGTCCGGGGTTAGCATGATGCCCAACTAAGAAACTGGGTTCGCTTTCGGATCTGCCAGGTGCTGGAGCTCCAAAAGCGCTTGGAGAGTGAGCTCGAACGTGCGGGTCTTGAAGGTTTCTGAAAACTTGAGACGTCGGAAGGTTCCCGTGAACCCGTCTCCTTCTTCTTTTTCTGCTTCTTCGTCTTCTGCGTTTGGTGCTTGCGGTTTGAATGCAACTGGATCATCGCACTCTCAAATCGATCACAGGACATGGAGTGCTTCTTTCTGGTTTGATGGGCATGGCTTGTAAAGCCCCCCCCCAAGTGCAGCATGCACCGCGGTCGATCGTGGCCAGTGCCGGCTTACTTGGGATCCTGAGTGAAATGAGCCGTCATCAGTTTTTGGTCATGTGGCCATGGGTCAAAACCCCCGTACCCCCAGTGAACATCCCAATCCCCACTAAAATGGATTAAAATGGAGGTGCACCAGTGGTACCATTGGTTTTAACCCACAGCCATGTGTTTGGGTGGTTGGGGAGTACAGCTGAAGCGTGCTTTTCCTGTACCACTGTACCGGTTTTCTGGAATGGGCTGGCGCATCGAGCGAGCGAGGTCATTTGTGCAAGATTTGCTTTGAGCGCGAGATCAACACAGCCTGGAACACAGGGAGACTTCGCCTCATATGATGAGGACTTGCAGTATTCCTGCATGGACAGATGCCTGAATACAGCATGATACACAACATGTCTGTCAGCTGCAGCTGAGGTCATTCTCGATTGTTCACATCGAGCTGTTTGTTCCCGCTGCCTTGACCAGGCGGGGCTCGTGTGTAGCGAGGCGTGAAAGGTACGCACTGTGTGCCTGTCTGCTCCACGGGCCATCGCAACCTCGTCACAGCCACTGCCAGGGAGCAGGATGTCATGTTTTTCGTTGCAAGGGTTGATTTGTTCAGCACAATTCGAATCCAAACTTGGAGATAGATGCTTGTGCCCCGATTGATTGCTGCCGGATGCACTATGGTGAGCGGAACAATTCCCTTTGCAAGCAATGCGTTCAGCATGTTTAATCTGCAGCATTTGTTCAAATCAACACATTTGCAAGTCGACAATGCAACAATTTCATTGCAAGAAGACCAACATAGCCACATGTGGTTAAACGGCGCACTTGGAACCCGGATGAATTGCTTGCGGTCAGTGTCCCAATGAAATAGCGATCAAAACAGAAGGGTCAAGTCACCGGGTAGTAAACATCAGTCTTCAATGGACAGGCCACTCTGATGGCAGGTCACCACCTGTCCGCTTTGCCGCGCAGACATCCGGTCCACCGTCATCACGTGCCGGGCGGTGTGTCGCCGTGGTGTCAGTGTCACTGTGATGCGGTGTGTTCACTGATTCATAGAGCACGGTCTCCTATCTCAATGGTGCCGAGATCTCCATTGTGATTAGTCATTCTTGGAAACGACCAGAGGAGGATCCTGTCACGGCCC